TGAGCAGAAAATGATTGTATTTCCGATATATATACGGTGGATTTTTAATGTCCTCATGTAAAGTTACACATCTCATCTAGATTCAATTTCAGCTAAATGTCAAATTACGTCCCAGAGAAGGTCACTGACAACCAAAAGATGAAATTTATAGTGCATTTTGGCATGTTACCAATAAACACTTAACTTAATTTAGCAATAAATGCAATCTTTTTTTAGAAATTGTTTGTTATGTTGATTTAAATATTGCGTGTATAATATATATATATATATATATATATATATATATATATATACTCATTCAGATTAGGCTGAGGCTGCGCTCACTTTTAGAGTTTTGTTTTTGTTTTTCCCTTGCAAGGAGATGACTACAGGAGAAGATTATTCATAGAATTTGTCTTTAAACCATTCTGGTTATCACTAACGTCTATCTTGTATTCACCAAAGGTCCCTATCTCCGATACATCCTTCGGTAAATGCCTTGAATCGCATGCCTCCTTTAACTTGGCAAGCCCTTTGGGATGAACAGGCAAGTGCATTAAGCGGAGATGCTGCACCATTCTCGGGAAAAATGCAAATTGGGAAGTTGTTAGTTATTTGATGTTGCTGCGTGATCCCCCCGCCCCCGAAACATCCCTCCACTCCAGTGATGGTGGTTGAATTGCATACAGTCCCGGGGACAGGCAGGGCTGTTTATATGCAGGCCTGGAGCAGCAAAGACAGCACAGAGACAGATGCATGTCAGAGATAGCAGATCCCATCTCAGGCAGATGCCTCTTATCACAGGCCTGTTTGCATAATTAGGCCTTTTGATATTCACCCCCTCTGACTGACAAAAAGTATAATTGCAGTATCAAGTACGACAAAAGGTAGGCACAAAATAAACAAGTCAACATAAATAGCGAGAAAAGACGCAATGTTATTTTTGTCCTGTGGGAAAAAAAGAGGGAGGAAAAACAGCATTTTAAACTAAATCTGCTGTCAGTCACAGTCAACTGGTGTGACTCGGTGCTCAGAGGCTGGTCCTGTGAATGCCTGCAAAACACAGAGCGTGAGGCCTGATTGTAATTATGCTGGAACTAATATGCTTTTCAAAATGAGCCATTATGAGCTAATGCTGCACTGCCAAAGCCCTGTCTGTTTTTGTCCCTCTGTCTTGGATAGTTTGCAAAGGTATCGCTGATATTGAGGCCATGGGTTATGTTGATGAGAGACGGTCTGAATAGGATGAGTACTACCTAACTTTACGCTAATACTGCTCACAGGTGACAGAGATGGGGGATAAAAATTCCGGACTCCTTTCAAAGACATCTTATTTCCCTAAAGAGTCAGTCATTTATTCTTATTCCGTTGTCTATATTTGCAAAAAATATGTACATATCTCGGTAAAAGTATCTTGTAGATATTTATCGAGAGTTTAATTCTTAAGCTTAATCATTTTCAGGATAAAAACACCAATTTATTAAAAAAAGTGTTATGTTTTTTTTCTCAGAATCCGATGCATCTATTTTGTTCATTTTGTTAAACAACCTGCGAGACTTGAAGTTTATTGCTCTTGTTATCATAAATCTGTAACCTCACAGATAACTTAGCTAATTGCCGCTTTTGAGAGGACAGCTGCGTGTTTAATCAGCATTACCTCTGCGTCGCGGGGGTAAAGGTGGAGGACTGTAGAAGTCCGAGGCTTCTGGAGGAAGAAGAATAGAAGGATGTGTGGAGGGGGTCGATAAGAGGGGGGATGGTTTTTTTGGGAGGAAACCGGGTGATGATGAGGATCCCATCTGCTGTGAGCAGTCTGTCTGTGGGGTCAGCAGAGGAGGGTAGACAGCCGGCTTTAGACCTCGTAGTCACTTAACGAGCAGCACAAGTCAGAATGAAGGCATCAGCAGAGCAGCCAGGGGGGAAAAAATAGTTGCTTTTAAAGATTATTTATAACCTCATTCATTAAAACAAATAAAGGTTCTCAGTTTGAAATTTTGAACATTAACACAGCAGCACTCAACTTTTTGATATTTGATATTATTTGCTAACTATTAAAAGGTTTTGTGGAATAACTAAGCTGAGAATGAAATCAGCCCCCTCGTTGCGTGTGTTGTAATCTGAAGTGTTCTGTATCCTCCGGTACCCCTACGGCAGCAATGTCACCGCCGTTAGCACCGTTAGCACTGTTAGCACTGTGGGCTGCTCACCGCTGGCTCAGCTGGCGCCATGTTGAGAGCTGTGCGGAGGCAGCCGCTCGCCTCTGAATTTAAAATTTCTCTGTAAATACAGTGATTGCTGGTGCGAATATTTGTTTTCCGGTTGAACATATCCTCAACTTGACGTCAATGCTGTGCTCAGCAACACCGTTATAATGTTTTGTCAATTATATGCAGATCAGTAATATTCCAGAATTGATGGTTTTTCAAACAATTTCTTGTTTTGAAACAAACGCTACAACATGCCATGACTGTAATTATAATTTAGTTTAAGGCAACTAAAACCATATAGTGTTATTTATAATCTTAGACCAGGTATTTACCAGGCTAAAGCCTGATTCATTCTTATTCATAATGGGTGTAATTTTAAATCAATATTGAGGAAAAACCTGGAGGGCCCCTGGAGGAGAGGACACGGCGGTAATCATGCCTACCGGATGGCACATAATTAGATTGTAATTGGATGATAAGTAATGAGACAAGGTATGAGTGGTTTATCAACATCCCACGAACCTGTGAATGGAATTACCACCGTCGTATTATAGGACGGTCTAATCAGAATGTACCTTTTTGTGCCGAGCAGACCATTAAGGAATTGACCCTTACAGCCCTGCAGGGATTTTGTTCTCTAATTCCTATTTCGTCTGGGATTGTTAACATTGGCACATCTGTGGGGAGAAAAAGAGATGAAATTTAGATTTTAAAGGGAATTTGTTGGTTAAAAAAAATCGGTGTAATCGGGTTGTTTGTAAGTCATATTCGCTTTGGGCGCATTATAGTAACACCACTGCTTGTGGACAAAAAACAGTATCAGGCATTTTCTTGCGTCATCATGGAAAGCAGCCATTTGTTTAACTGTATTTTCTGTCGTCTATTCACCAAATGTACTCGGCATATTGGTGAGTTTGGGTCCCAGTTGGCCCCGTGCAGCATGTGCCATTTTAACTTGCTCAACACAGGCCTGGCTGTTGACCTTGTGCTTATGGATCATGTACAAGAGAAGATGTGGTGGCTCAACCTATTTTCTGTGGAGCCTTAGCAGCCATTAGCCTGATAGCATGCTAAACGTAACACAGATTGCCGCGGCAGTTTACCTGCCAAGTAAAAGTCTGTGAAAGCGCTTTTGAACAAAGGTGGGGGAAAAGAAAATAATTTGAGGAGGAGAGGACTTTAATGTCTTGCTCAGAGTCCCCTTGAGCTTGTGTCTGCTCCGGCCCCCACGACTCCCCGTAGGACATAGAGGTGACTTTGGAAAGCCATCTGATGGGCTCAAGTGTCGTCAAGGCAACTTACCGCACAAATGGCTGTACGCATCCTCATGAAAACCAACAAAGGGATATGTGGTGTATGTACATATTCAACTTTGTATGTTCAAGGGTGTTCCGCAGAGCGCAGTGAGCCTGTGCTTCAAGAATCAATCTTTATTAAAAAGGATAAGACTGAAGAATTGATTTAATGAATGCGGCCTCATGTCCTGCAGCCACATGTAATCCGCAGAGAATCATTGAGCATGAGCTCAGGGGGACGAAAATGTTCGTAGACGACTCATCGAGTGGCCTGTAATGATAGTCTCCATATAATCCCATAATTCCTTGTTTAATTAAACTCTGAAGCTGGCCTTGAGACTCCGCCAGCTCTGTTGCTCTTTTGTTCTCACAGTTGTTATTTGGAGGCTAGATTTGAGTATTCTTTTGTCCACTTATGTTGAAAGATTTGACTGGGGTCAGCTACGAACAGAGATCGCGGCTGTAAAGCAACGAGTGAGGCGTTAGGAAGCCGGTTCGGGCGAGATGTTCAGGTGAGGATTGTAGTTTCCATTCGAGCTGAATAGTGAAGGGCTTCTGTCAGAAGGCGAAATCTCTTCAAACACCCTCTTCTTCAATACCTCCCTTTATTTTCCCTCTCCCACACTTTCTGGACGATGCATGATGCAATCCAACTAGGCCCGGAGCAACACTGGCACATCACGCCGCCTTGTCAATGTCTCAATGAGGAAATTATGAAAATATGAATTTTATGACATGGAATGAAAAGGGCCATGCAGTTTGAATAGACATGCAGAGGAGGTGAAAATGATGCAATTTTCTAAATTCAGTTATAATGGTAATGTGCAATGGTAATGCGTATTTGCTGTCAAAAATGTCCCTGTCGGCCTGGATTGTACAGCTTTGTGCTGTATCTATATTCCTCGAGCAAAAACTCAGCTTAGTTGAATGCCTAAAAAGTAATGTAAGATATGTTGTAATTCATTTAATGACAGCAGATGGAAACACACGGGACTGAATGGTTTCGGTCTGATATTGTGTTCTGTTCCATACACTTTGGCTGAGCTGTGTGTGTGTGTGAGGAGTGTGCCCTGGGCCAGCGAGAGAGAAAAGCAGGGTGAGGAGCAGCAAGGTGGCCTGTGCAGATTAACCCCTCTACCCACCGACACCCCCGCCGCTCCCACTCTGCCCTCTGCCTTCACAGCCTCTGGGGCCCCTCACAGAGACAGGATTGTGTATCAGGGCCTCTTCTATATTAAATAAATATCCACAGATTAAGATAATATTCTCCCTGTTGTATATTCAAAGAGGAGTTGCTGTCACTTGAGTCCTCTGTGTTGCCAGTCCCGCTCTCCAGAGCAACAAAAGAGGCTCCAAAATGCAGATAATGCCGTTAGAGTCCCTTCTTGATCAGCTGCAGCTCAGATTTGATGCCATTTGCTACAAACGCCCCCTCGGTTGATTCACACATCACACTGCGTTACTTGATTTCATTGCATGATCACACAGTCGGTCCGCTGTCTTTTTCTTTTCATCTCAGGTAACCGCACAGACGAAGGCTCGGATGTAGATTCGGAGCCCGACTTGCCCCTGAAGAGGAAGCAGAGACGCAGTCGCACCACCTTCACCGCCGAGCAGCTGGAGGAGCTTGAGAAGGCCTTTGAACGGACACATTACCCAGATATCTACACCAGAGAGGAGTTGGCCCAGAGGACAAAACTCACGGAGGCCAGAGTACAGGTACCGTCAGAACAAGCATTGTTTGAATCTTTAAACCTGTGCAAATAAAACCAACAAGATCTCTGCATGTTGAGAAGTAATTGAGGAAATTGTGGGTGATCCGGTGCTCTGAACACATATGCTCTGTGTTGAAACTCCACCTGCCAACATCAATCTACTGCAGTCGACTTCTGAGGGAAAAAGTAGCTTCCACTATTCCTCACCTGGTGCAGGCCTCACAGAGATCGGTGCTGCCCGAACAGAAATAACCAAATTTCCGTAAACGTACGGCAAAAGCCGTCATGTCTGAACGTAACAATGTTTTCCCATTCTTTCAGTTACGGATTGCTTATCTGTTCGGATAAAGTTTTGGTTCTGTGCTTGTGAGGGAGCTTGGTACCCATGATCAGCCTCCATGTTCACAATGATTTAGATAAATGCCCCCAATCTTCATACCTCAGACACAGGAACCTGTTTGACAGCCATAGCTGCCCAGCAGTTGCGTGTACGGTTGACGGAAGGTATGTACAGCAGAGTTATGGCAGCAGCTGTTCTGTGAGAGAGGGAGAAAAAAAAGAGGAGAGGAGAGAAAGGGAAAGGGAATGCATTCCTGATGGATTTCTCATCTCGGCCTTTGGCCAGGATCTCATCCCATCACTTTCAAGCTCGCCGCTGCTTGTAAAACCCTCCACATATCACACGCGGTTCCTCGTCCTCTCCAGGGACCCAATGCCCCGACAACAACATTAATCAATCAGTCGCTAGTAAAAAAAAAAGAAGGTCTGGGGCACCCTCTCCTCTTACCACAGTGGTTCACACTCCCTCTGAACCCCCCAAAAAGTGTTCACCCCACTACAAACATGCAGTTAGGGTAACTAATTCTACACATGTCTTTTTCCATCTCAAACCCCCCCAACATGCAGCGATGCCCTAAATGTCTGAGTGTTTAATGCCTCACTCAAGGGAGGGGAAATGTATCTCATGGTTGTTATGAGGCAGTATATATATATATATATATATATATATATATATATATATATATATATATATATATATATATATATATATATATATATGTTTTTTTCTTTTAGCGGGTTTGAGGAAATGTGGACAAGAAGTGGAAGAAGTGAAAGCATCAATAACTTGTATTTAAAAAAATCAACATTGCGATAATAAGTATCTATAAACTATCAAATGAAGTCTACTTAGATTTAATATATTCATTCCAATTGTTAAAACTGCATTTTCTGACAAATTATTAAAGCTCATAGTAAAAGCCACGTGCAAATACTTCAATGAATCAAATGTATCAGTCTACAGCTATTCAAAGCCATCGTGGAGGACAGCAACACCTCAGGTTTGAAAACAAAATCTATTCTTGTATTTCTGGAGCCTTACTAAAATATCTAAACAGCAAGGAGACCCAGTGACTGCTGTGTGTTTGCTGTTAGATAATAGACTTAAATTATGTCATGTGAGAACCTGAGGAATTTGAGTCATGGCTATAATTTAAGTTAATGCTGTTTTCCTCATAATCTAATTTTTAAAAGCTTTTGAAACTCTCAAAAGGTCAAGTCAAACTTAATTTTCTGAGAGGGTTACAAAGGCCAAAATAAATAATGCCAATATAGTTTTCTCTTAGCATTCTCCCAAATACATCTCAAAGGAATAACTGCACTTTAAGTATTTCAATACAACAGAGTTATTTTTATTTTTTAATGAACAATTCAATGATAAAGTTTAACTGTATATCTGTAAGAATTTATTTTAAAAGTGAATGACATGATGTGAGCAAGTAGGTGTTGTTTGACAGCGTTCTGAACAGCCAGGCTTTTGCATAGGTGCCCAAAAGGTCCATCATAGGGCGGGAGAGAGGAGACCCTTTGGCCTAAGGGGCAAAGCTTCTCCACAACAGCTGCAGTGACGCATCTTGCAGATGTTGTGTGCAGACAAACTGGTGTTTGGGGCCGAGAGTGAAAGGATAGGAAGGGGGTGGCAGGGCTCTAAAGAGTCTCATGTTTTAACTTGAATCCGTTCCTCTGGTCTTGGCTCTCTTTTAGCCATTTGTCATTAAACCTGCCGATAATGTGCAAGCAACTTTTTTGGGTGAACTGCAAAACATGGCTTGACTGGCACCTAAAACACCACAACCCAAAGCCGTGTTCCAAATGAACCCGCCAGAGTCTTGGGGAGGTGACGAGTGTTTGGCTTAGCAATGACTCACAACCTAAACTCATAAACAGAGCGAACTCCCTCGTGTCTGCCCTCGCCTGCCATTTTAACACCCTTTCACCATCCATCTTTATCAGCGCTGCTGCTACCAGCACTCCTCCAGCACCACGAGCCTTGCGATGGTTTTATCACCGCAACTGACAAATTGTGGGATGCGATCCGTATCTCTCAGCGATTAGTTCCAGGCTGTCTCAGTGAGAGGGGCTACTACCCAGTCCACCTTCAGTGTGTGCTCAGCTGATGCAATGTCGACTGCCACTTTCCATCTGATAACCCGGTAGTTTTAACCAGAGCATGCGGCAGAGTTCATTCCATGAGCTATTAGAGAAGAGGGAAGGCTTTTTTCTGTTTCCTCTGCAGAGTGGATCAGGCAGGAGTATCATTGAGGGCGGAGGTAGCCAACAATAGGCTGAAGGCCGCTGTAAATCAGCACCTTCTGATGAAGCAAATTACGCTCTTCTCTATTTAGACTGAAGTTTTTAAGAGACTGACTCTAGAGACCAGACGCATCTGAGCATGCCGCCTCCGGCTCGCTTTACCGAATCTGTCACATAGATCCTCATTCATTACCAATAAACATTCTGCATGTAGCTATTATACTTAGTGGAATCTAATAAGGTATAAGCATTGCGTTTCACGAGGCGTGCAAATCAATTTGGTTTAAAAGTTTCTCCCTGTATCTATGGCTTGTGCTGGCTGTGAGATGCAAGGGAATGAGCAGAGGGAAAAGACCGATATGCAGACTGTGTACTGGTCTTCATAGCTTTATGTGGCAAACCAGTATAGGCAAATTCCACCTCAAGTTTTCAACACTGCTGGTGTGAATATAATCCCATCGGGAGGTATCAGGAGGTACTACACAGTTTATTGATTGTTATAATACCAGTAGAGTACCAGCGGCAAGAGAGAAATTCACAATGGAGCTGAGTGGTGACAACCAAACCCAACAGGCAACTGTATTCCCGCCAGTATGGGTTTACGTTTCATAAAGGAATAAATAGGATTTGTGTAGATTGTAGAGCAGAAATTGTTGCAATGCATCAGTGTGAATGTTCTAACAGTTTCTTATTATTAGAATTTAAATGACTTTGGTACAGTGCTTCTGTACTCCTGATACTTATCAAGCTAATCCCACTCTCCTCTCAAATTCACACTCCTAGCTACTTTAATTAGCATAGTGCCAGACTGGAAGGCAAGCAGGGAGGGAATCAGAGAGAGAGAGAGAGGGGGGAAAGAAGGGGGGAAGCAGAGGGGAGGAGGATGGGGGGTATTGCGTGGTATGAGACAGAAGAGGATTTGTACGTTGAGGCTGGTTGCATCACCCCACCGTGTTCTTGTGGATATGAAGTCAGCAGCTCATTTTGTTTTGTCATTATCCCGCCTCTTGGTATTCATCTACCGAATGTTGCAAATTGGCTCCTGAAAGGCGTCATACATTCAGGGCTCGTCTTTCACAAAATAATTCATGGAGGATTGTCTGAACGGGGGAATTCTAAAATATGAGTGATCCTATTTAAGAGAAACAACAGAGAGAGAGAGATGTTTACTGCTGTGCAGTGTCACACGTTTCCGGTGTTTGTGAGTGCACATTATCGCTGATCGGCGATAAGAAAATGCAAAATGCTACTTTATCGCTTCAATTTTGTCGGCTGAGAGTGAATGAGAGATTAAAAACATATGAGGCAATAACAGCCACCAAACAAAGCACTTCTATTGAATGTGTGCTGTCTTGAGGGTTGCACCCTCTTCTAGATGTGCTCTACATCAACCTTCACCCTCCTCCAAGTCTCTTTCTCCAAGCCGTCCTCTTTTGTCTCACAAGCAGGGCTCAGCTTGAGTTCCGTAAGACGGGCTGCTGCTCCCGCATCCCTTCTGCCTCCGAAAACTTTCACACACCCTCTCAGAGACGCAGCGCAGACGTGTCCAAGTGCACTGGATGCCGGGAAAAACCTTTTAGTCCGTGAAAAGGGAACAGAAGTGAGCCACGTGCATCTCGGCGGCACACTTGTAGGCAGATAGGGGAGACACAGAGGAGAGCCGCAGCTCTCTGTACTGCAGAGAATTAAACCGGATTGTGGAGAGCAGAGGAGAATCTGTGGTGTCCAAGGTGACTTTGTGATCAGGTTCCAGAGCACAGCCGCAAATCCTCAGCTCCGGGCTGCGGGTTAGTCTGCAGGCGCGCGAACGTGTGTAGGGAACGTATGCATGTGTGCGACCGCGTACGGGCGCTGAGGATCGCCACCTGTGTTCATGTTTATCCGTGCTGAGAGCTCCACAACGGGCCACTCCGTCAACGGAGCATACTTGTGTGTTGAGACATGTTGTGCTCACTGACTAGAGAGATCTTTGGCTTTTTTTTTTTTTATTTAGGTCCATTTTGTGTGTCAAAGTGGAAAAATGTGAATAACAAAAACTGTGAGTTTTTTCCGGCGCTTAAAAGCGATTGCGCTCGCGATAAAGTAATGTTTATTGTCTACTAATTTCATAGAGAAAACACATTTTAAAAGAAACATCACGGATCACACTTTCTGTAAGATAAACTGTAAAGGAAACCATCATTGCGGCAGAGCGGCTGCAGATATTCGCATGTACGCAGTGTGTTCGGCGAGTCGAGTGACGAGTTGGAGAAGGAGCTGAAAATGCAACTCGGACAAAAGGGAAGCGGCCTCCTTAGCTTGGATCACCACGGGGGAAGGAAGTTAAAATGAACATAAAAGAGGGGTGGGGTGAGTGGATGAGGTCAAAGGTGAAGTGGCACTGCGGAGTGGGGTGATGGGGAGTGTGTGGAAGAAAGGGGTGTGCCTCCAGTGCCCCCCTCCTGTGGGCCAGGCAGCTGTTTGTCTGTCTGGCCCAGTAGGAGCTTAGCTCAGACCTCGGACCACGCTCCACTACATCCCAATAGCGGAGATTTCAGTGGAGCCGCTCGCCGCGTTTGTTTTTTCGTAAAGCTGATTGGGGGATTCATACGGGGTCTTTACGTGAAGGTTTCCCGTTTGGTTTTCCAGTTGCGGTTTTTGAGGTTCGTCCTCTACGAAACCATCGCCTTTTGCTTCCGTCTTTCTTTCCGGTGCGCGCTGAAGAATAAAACCGAGCTAGTTGAGGCTGCGACTGTGTGGGAAAAAAAGCACATTCAAATGAAGACCTCCGTTGAGCTGAGATCCCTTGTAGGCCTATACGATTTTATATGTATGTTTGTGTGTACGAAAAGAGGCAGCCCCCAAAAAGCAGGGAGTATGTCGCTGTGTAAGTCCCCTTGAAAGTGTCACTCTTTAAGACCTGTTTAAAAGGGACGCCCCCTCTTTGTGTCCACTGTTCTCCGTGGCGTATGGAGGGGCTTTTGTCCCCCTCTTTCATGTGCTCTCACAATAGCCGTGGCCATTTGAAACACAACAGTAGATGAACTGCGCTGACAGTGTATTAAACTCTGATGAATTGCCTGTGCGAGGCATAGATCAATGTCCTTCAACCCTTAGCACACAGTGAAGTCCGGGCCTTGTCTTGGTTAAATGGAACAGGTTGCTGGCTCTTTTCAAAAGGGCCCGATTATATTCATGTTTTGTTGAAGCAGAAGCCTTTTTAAAATGTGTAAATCTTTACGGTTCAAAAGAGTCCTATTTCCCCCCCCCTTTTCATTCAGGCAATCGACATTGTGTGTCCGTGCTTTGGTCCTTCTCGTTTTGTGAGAGTTTTGCTATTTGCAGCCTTAGAACTGTGTGTCTTGACTCTAAAGTTCGAAACTGTTTTTTTTTTTCTCCTTTAACTGACTTTTAAAGCTTTCAAAACCAACACGGTACAACAGCAAAGCGTCCTCAGAGAAGCGACGGCCTCCCTCAACGCATTCACTAGCTTCACAAACATGCTTGAGGTGTGTGTGTGTGTGTGTGTGTTTTGTAGGCTAGCGGCCTGCCTCTAACCTTTAGATGACTTCTCCTCTCTGAAGAGGGCTTAGGGCAGCCCGTTTACAGAGATCACAGCTTCAGCCACTTAACGACAACAGGGACACACCACAGGGCCTCAATGGCAGCTCCCACTGGGACTCTCTCAACTACCACCAGCACCAGCACTCACGCTAACTGGCAGATTAATCACAGGTGGCAGGAGGCAGCGGACTCTGCTGACAGCCTACTGCAGTCAAATGCTCAGTGCAGAAGCATAAAAAGAGTTTAAATGAAAAGAAAAAAGAAAAAAAAAACTTGTAACCTGCAAAATTCAGAGCTGAAAATGAATAAATAAATTGTCCTTGGATTTGACGTTGTGTGTGTGTGTGTTTCTCTTTGCAGGTGTGGTTTAGCAACAGGCGCGCTCGGTGGCGTAAACAAGCCGGGGCCAATCAGCTAGCGGCCTTCAACCACCTGCTTCCTGGAGGGTTCCCACCCACTGGGATGCCCAGTTTACCCACATACCAGCTACAAGAGTCCAGCTACCCCGGCACCACGCTATCGCAGGGTAAGAGCATGAACTATATCAGCCCGGAAAGATACGGGATGCTCTGTACTTTGAGTTTAATCTAATTTTGGTAAAGATTACATTAGCACTATTTATTAGGGGTATGCCATCTATATTTATGTTCATGTGAATAACATTATGAATTGTATAAGAACCCTGTGCAGCTTATAACAACCATGCAGCAAGTAGTTATGTTTACAATAGCATCTTTGTTGCAGTGGAATAGTGATCAACCTTCACATAACGCCTTGTTTTTGGTAATCAATTTGAAGGAGGAAACATGCACGACCTATGACTTAGTGACCTTAAACTCCGAGGCTGCTATTTGAGGTTCCTCGAGTGTGTGTTCCCCTCGATTCTCTCTTACCTGTCTATGTGGCTCTTTTGTGTCAGAGGGCGGCAGCACACTGCACAGACCCCAACCCCTGCCTCCATCCTCCATGCACCAGGGAGGCCTGACCGCTGACGGCAGCTCTGCTTACGGCCTCTCGTCCAATCGCCACGGCTTCTCCAGCTACGCCGACACGTTCATGAGCCCCTCGGCATCCGGCAACCACATGAACACCGTCGGCAACGGGCTCTCCCCGCAGGTCAGTGCAACAAGTATCACCTGCACAAAGGCTGCCGGCTCATAAAATGTTCCCACAAATAGGTGGAATTCCTCTTCATCCTTCTACCGCCCTGCACCTCCTCTCTGGCTGCTCACAATGTTTAATTGTGTTTGACTGAAATTAAAATTCAGAAACAGCATGTTCAGCAAATATGACTGCCGGTGTGGGCTTTTATGTTCGCTTTCCAAAGCCCTGGATTTATTTTAGCTACTCTAAATTGCTACATTTGTGAAACAATTGGATTAACATCAACAAATTAAAATTCATCTTGATAGTACCGCAAGTACTCAAGCTGCTCCAAACAGCGATTTTGACTTTCCTGGGACATCTAATTCCTTGCGCAGAGCAGTGAAAACACATGCAGATGAAATAATTAGCTAAAGCTTATAAATGTAGACCCATAATCTTCTTCACGTAATTGTCTTCAGCTGGAAGACTCACGATTTTCTTCATCTCTTTACTGCATGATTTCCATAGTGGCTCCATGTTGAGGGTGTCAGAGCTGATGTACTCTCCGGTTTTCCGGGCGTGTTTTTTTCTGCTGGACATTTGCTCGTGTGTACTTCTGACAAAGAAACCCTGGCTACTAATTGCTGTTTAAATCCCCCAAATATCTCTCTACACTACCTCCTCTGGGCCATCTTGATGTGTGACACATTAAGCAGAGGTTTGTTTACTTCCTTTTCTGAAAAGCGCTGGATTTAACATGTTAAACCTGGTTGGTAACCTCCATTAATGAGCGTGTAAATGCGACTCTATGGGAAGGTTTGAGCTTTAAGTAGCACAGAATGAAAAATGATTTGTATTGATGCAAATCGTGTGTACGGAGTGAATTATACACAATTACCCATCAATACTGGCCAGTCTTGCCCACCCGCACCAACAAGATGTGGTTAACAGGCAGAAAATAAGATTGAAATGGTGTGTAAAGAGTTGAAAATGAATTTCAATGCTGCATTTGTCCACAATTACCCCGTCGTTCACACGTGTTTTATTGGGAGTTTTTTTTTTCTTCTTCTTCAAATATTTCTGAAAGCAGATTGGAAACATTCTTGGTATTACCCTCTTTCTTCAGAGAAGAAAGAATTAAGGATTTTGTGACAAAAAAGAGATTTTCTCTCCTGCTGGAGCGACGGAGGATAACATGGAGGCTCACAGCGTGTTTGATTGTTAATCGTGGCACCGGGGCTTTAACTGCTAATGCTCTCACTGCAAACCTGCAGAAAAACACCAGGAACATGGAGTTGTTGTCTTTTTTTTTCATTAATGGCTCTCTCTAATACTGGCATGGGGTGGAGTGTGTCGCTTTCTCTCCCTCTCTTCACGGGCATTCAATAATGTGTTGGGATATTAAACATTTCCTGTCATAGTGAGGATTAAGACCTTTCGGCAACTGTACAGCATGGATTTTCAATATTAATTTACTATATTATGTCGGTTTTACTAAAGTCTATAACCAAAAATACCTGAAATGCATTTTTACAGGTAATTTTATTTGGGTATTTATTTTTAACTTTAATTGTAGATTTTATAAAGAAAATGCATGTGTGTTTGTGTGGCGGGGACGTTTTCACAGGATTGAAATGTATTGAATGCACACAGAATGCTTTGTGGCATTCCTATCATTCTCTCAGCATGGAGATGAATGTTCCCACTGACAGCAGAATCAGGGTCCACTCCGTGGTGCAGCATCGTGCAGAGCTGGGAAGCCCCCATCTCTCTCTCTCTCTCTTTACCAACACACATCCACAGAGTCAAAGGTATCCACACAAAACTCACAGCACATGGAAAAACAAGGTTTACCATGTCAGACCTTCTTTAGTCTTTGCATTTATTTCAATCAACAAACAAATATGTTTCAGCTTTCGGAAATGATGCACGCGTGCGACACCTCACGGTTGATTTTCCCGAAACTTACAGCAAGTTTCCCGTTTTTCCTCTAATGGAAAAAAAGCTACACAGAGGACGTCTCTGTCGAGAAGGAATTGAGAATTTGATATTGTAAGTTAGAGAGAGCATCTGTTTGCATGAGATATGCTTGTGCATCGGTATGTGCAAGCTATTTCTTCAAGTGTCTGGCACTGATATCCTAGTGGTTGCTGTAAAGATGGACAAAAATTCTCTGATTCCCAGTAAATGGGCTGCGGTGGCGTGCTGCCAAGTCTGTAATGGAATCCTGCAACGTTCAGCGATCCCGACAGGAGCTCGCGTCCATCCCAATCCCGCAACCTATCCCGACAGCACACATTTTCCCATTACAGGCGGTGGAAAAGCCGTCCGCGCTCAAACTGGTTGCTGTCATTGGGGGACATACAACGTGTTTGGCTGCTTGAGGGAGCAATGCATTAGGGGTGAGTGTGAAGCTGTGCATGGCTGAGCAAAAGGCATGAAAGCAGAGGTGTGTTTTGTTGTTGGTCAAGAGGCAAGGGCACAGGGGACAGTCATTCCAGTGTTTCTCTATATCTCTGTCATTTTCAACACTGCATTTGAAATCGGTCTCTGTCTCTGCCCCAAATGGCCACCATGGTGCCTCAAATTATAATTTTGCATATGTTGACTGGAAAACAATAGGACGAGCAGTCTTCCTATAATTGAAGAGGGGATGCTTTGACAGCCAACACACAGTCATTTATTAAGAATATTATATACGTTCAACAGACCCTTGTAATGTGAAACTCTAAAGAGCCTTTTAGTTACTTCTCAAACGCTTCTTTGGAGCAGTGTTCATGGGCATTTTATATTGGGGTCGATTATGGGGTTGGGGGGATTGCGTTTGTACAGAATTCCTCATTATTGCATGACAGGGACACCTGCTGGGAGAGGGAAGAAAACAACTGCAGCGACTGGAGAGCTGGAGCGACGCAAGCGGGGCTCAGTGGCAGAGCTTGAGTTTCACTTCTGAGACAAATTTCTAGAAGTAATGACATCAGGGAATAATAAGAGCTAAAAGCATTTTTATCGCATAGTCAAAGCTGGAAATTAGCCATTGAATGCTTTGTTGAGTGTTGTGGTGTGAGAGAAGTGATCCGGAGAGTCAAAGGTACGACGGACAGATGTCATTTCTGTTTTAATCAAGCCAGTTTGTAAAGTTTTGCGGGGGAACTTTTTTTATTCCGTTTAGCAGTTTTATGAAAGTGTTGTGTGTTTCGGAATGACAAGGATGTGTGTGCGCGCCTGCGTGTGTGTATCCAAGGAGGGCCTTTGGGCTGTGTGAGTGGGCCGGGCCTCCACACGTACACACACACACACACACACACACACGGGATCAGAGGCAGAGCGGCTCTCACCCTTGCCTCCCTTTGATCTGTGTCCCCAGGCCTGCCTGCCCGCGCGGCGCTGCACCGTACCACGCACGCTGACACCATGCTCACCAGCGACTCCCCACAACTGTCTGAGAGAGATAAGCCAGGGGAGACTCCAAACTGTGCTGCTGCTCTTCCATTAGCTAGCGCAGGCGCTTCTTTTAAAAAACGGGATGAATTATTTTTAAGAAGCAAGCTCTGCCGTTGCCAAAAAAAAAAAAAAACGGAGAGGGGAAAATATACGGAACAATCTGGAGCTCTGGCTTCATTCCGCCTCCCTCTCTGACTTCTAACAAGACATTCTGCACCTGAATACCAATGAGTGGGGGAGATTCATGTAGTCCCCCACATTATTAAAACTTGGGCATTAAGCCTCTCACCGGGCACTGTGTCAGCTGGCAGGCTCCACTGACAACAAATCAAAGGGGATGAGCACATAGCCTGCATTCATCGCTCAGCCACTCGCAGCGCAAGAGGGGGAATACATACTGGTTAATTAGAACTCCCATTAAAACAAATACTGTTTCAATTTGGCAAGTATAAAAAAAGATGTAAGAGGCTTTCAGAAAAAAGGGACCTGCTGTTGGCGGCTGCCAAGAAAATCCAGGGACTGTAAATCGTATCCACTGGCTATACTGTTTCTGCACAGATTATTAGTCTTTGCTGTTGTTTAGCAACACTTTTGAACTCTGAGGAAAGATTCTGTGTCTGTGACACCAGAAATGCGCGTCTGCAGCCGTCGCCGAGGTCGTTTCTTCTCCTGTAGCTCGGTTTGTTTCCACAGCTGCAAGAGACTTATATATGCACGGACTGTACCTTTTATGAATTGTGACACAACTGTTGGGGTTCTCCAGACTGGGGTTCTCAAACTCAACGCTTCATAGCACCTTACTGAATCATAAAAATGCTCATGCGGAACATCGCGGTCCGACCGCAGCTTTACGCGCAGGTCTCATTTGCTAGCAGGTGACACTCCTGCATACTCCAGCCATTTGTTGCTCTCCACATCGCCAACGTCTCCTGAGCCCCAAGTGAAGCCATTTTCTTTTCCATTCCAAAATATTTCCAGTTGGAGCTTTTTCGTATTCAAAATCTATTTTTCACCTACCAACCCTTCCTTCGCTCCATTTGGCTTTTAGTCATTCCATGATGCCTTGCCAATGGTGCTTTGCTCTCTCTCTCTCTCTCTCTCTCTCTCTCTCTCTCTCTCTCTCGGTCTCTCTCCCCACCTTTCTGTATTGCTCCAACTCTCTCCCCTGGAGAGGCAGCTCTTCTCCCTACGCCCAGATGAAAGGCTATGGCGGACAATAAAAATGCTATTTAAATGCAAGGGTGTTTGTGTGCGGGTGAGAGATATTTCCTGCTGAAAGTGAGCTGCTGCATCCTGATAAATAGTAAATATAAGGGAATGTGATTTACATTTATCTTGCAGAGGCAGCCAATATGAATTTCAGTAAATCCTAGAAGATGGGGATTTAAGGAGGAAAATGAGTGAGACTGATTCCCACGCTGTGTGTCCTACGCAGTTGAAATGCCTATAAGGTGCAGCGTGATACCGCCTTTATTAAAGAATAGGCACAGACATCGATCCTATCTAAAATACCTATTACACACGGACATGCACTGTGTCACATGCTCATCTGTGGAAATCCCCGGTCTCATACATACTCAATTTGA